AAATCTCAAAGAAATGTTTATGCTAAAGTTCAGAAGGATATGAACTATCCTGGGTGAACTTTAAACAAATTGACGAACACTCAAGAATATGATGATAACAACAACTAAAGTAAGATACTCCAGCTTAAAACATTCTAAGGTCACATAGTGAGAGCAAAGACTATTTAGCCAAAACCACATTTTTTTTTCTTCTATGTTCTTCAGAAACATGGAATGTATAATTGCTATTGTATTTTCTAGATGTCCAATCATGATAAAAACGAAAGAGAGAGGGTACATACACATTGCCACGAGGGTGGTTTTGAAGTTGAAAATAAACCTTTTAGGTGTACTTACCTTCAATTACCAAGCCATAGTACGTCATGAAAAAGAAGTTGTTCCAAGGAGAAGAAATTAGTTGTTCCAGCAACACCTAACAAGTATCAAATCCCAACATCAACCCTGGTAAAAGGTGGTCTAGAGGCCACTATCTCATAAAGATTAGAACAAAAATTATATATCAAAATGCTTAAATGCCATAAATGAGACAAAGCAAAAGTTCGTAAAATAGATAATAAGGAACCGACAAACATACCTTCTTAGCTATAGTTTTTGTGTTCTTTTTCCCCTTGAAGATTTTATCCATCAGTTTGTGAAGGAAGTGCCCAAATGGTCCTCCATAAGCAAAACCATAGAGCTACAAGGCAATTAAAGGTTTCTACTTTAAATAAAGATTGGACAAGATCAGAAAGAAAGAGACAATGCCACTTAATCTTGGGGAATCATATCCCTTCCAAAATGCAGGCCAACACAGACAGCTTACATTCAATTTAATGTTCATTTCCTGCATTGATTTGGGCATCTGGAAGTTCCACACAAATGAAGTTGACCAAAAAAATAAAAATAAAAGTCAACTCACCATAATAAGAAGCAATCTTCTCAGTTGAAGCCTCTTGATCCCAGAAATCTTTTGAGCCACTACATCACTAAACCCAGCCAGCACCCCAGATGTAATTGCCTACAAACCCACCCAAAAAAAATCCAAAAACAGTCACAAATTCATAAAACTAAACAACAAAAATTCAGGGCATAACAGGAACAACTGTCAATGAAAAAAAAGATACAGCAAGATAATAGACAAAAAAACCCATCTTAAAAAAGATGAAGAAAAACCCAGAAGAGAACCAGAATACCTTGGTTCTCAGAGGGTGGGCTTGAAGTTGAATCAAATACTTTCTCCATGCTTCTTTGGCAATATCAGACATGGTGGCGATTGACCCTCCGTTCTGTTTCTATCTCTGAGTGATCAAGTTGGGTTCTTTCTATACGGTTTTGAAATTTTAGAGAGAAATCATTGCGAGAAGTGCACAAATTAACGAATGAAAGCAGATTTAGAGCAGCATTTTAGATCTGCCAAACAATCACAGAATTGACTTCATGGGTGGGTGGCTATGTTGCATTTCACATTCATTCCTCTTTATACATTTTCCGGTAAAAGTCACCCTCCAATATAATTGCCAGTGGTTTTATTTTGTTTATTACTCTAATTTAGACTCCGTTATTGGGGTTTTTTTTAAAGAAAAATTAAAATTACTAAAATTAATAATTAAAAATAAAAAATAAAATGATG